GTGCAGCTTCCTCCTCGGCCTTCTTGAGTGCAGCTTCCTCCTCGGCCCTCTTGAGTGCAGCTTCCTCCTCGGCCTTCTTGAGTGCAGCTTCCTCCTCGGCCCTCTTGAGCGCAGCTTCCTCCTCGGCCTTCTTGAGTGCAGCTTCCTCCTCGGCCTTCTTGAGTGCAGCTTCTTTCTCGGCCTGCTTGCGCGCAGCCTCCTCCTTAGCATTGCTGCGTGCGGCTTCTATCTCTGCCTTCCTCTGCTGGGCTTTCTTTCGTGCTGAGGTGTGTTTGGTAATCTTCCGCCCCGCCGGCTTGGCAGATGCGGGCAATGCATCAGCCACGTTCTTATTCCCACCACCGCCTTCAGGTACTTCAGAGGGCTTGGAGAGCTGGCCCTGGGTGTGGCTTCCTCGCAATGTTTCGGCGGCAACCTCTTGCTGCTCGCTTGTAGGAGCAGCGTCCCTCTCTACCTCTTCCCCTCTGCCCATGGGTGCCGTGCTGCCCGCCCCCTTCCTCAGGGAAGGCGTCATCGGAGCACAATAGTGCCGACCGCGCTTCAGCGATTTGGAAATTACAGCGGCGTGCTTCACCATCGTACCTTCCTTTGGCGCCGCACTAGAGGCTTGCACACTGCTGTCGTGGGACCCATTCCCGCCTACGTCGTGCTGTGTGGCGTCAGGAGAAACTTCGGAAAATTCGTGCGGCTCCACGCTCGCCTTTGTCGCTTGCTGAACCCCTTCGGCCTGCGCGTGGGTATTCGTTGGCGCTTGCGAGGTGCTTTCAGAGCCCAGCCCGTTTGCCACACTCTCCACGGGCGTCTTCTGACACTCATGCGAGTCTTCTTGTTTCTGATGATGGGAGTTGGCTTGCTTGGATATCGCCATGGAGCGCCGTATAGGGCGTGCGGCTTCATCGACTAACTGCTTCTCGCCTATCTCGTCGACGTTCGCACTTACCTTCTCTATGGTGACTGTCCTCACCTGATTTATAGGTTCGTCTATAGTTGTGACGGTGGGGCTGGCTTGTTGCTCCCCGTCCTGCGCCGCCGCTTGTTCAGCAGACGTCTCTTCGTTGAAGAGAAACGCGAGCTTCGGCGTCCGCTTCGGTACAACGGGCTCCTCCTCCCCTTCGAATAGAAACGCCATCTTGGGCTTCCGCTTGTTCATCAGCTTTGTCACCACCGCCCGCGTCGTTTCAGCCGGTGGCGCGGGAACAGGCTCCACGGTCTGCTGCTCCGGTGCTGTTGCGGTGTTCTCTTGCGTTGCTGCTGTTGTTGCTGCGGCTGCCGCTGGGGGAATGGGCGTCACGTGCGACATCTCCGGCGCGACGGCGTCGGGAGTCTTCACTTCCTGCGCTTGCGGCTCACGGGGGACTTCGGTCTGCTGCTGCGCCTCGGGCTTCGTCGCTTCTTCCGCTGGGGCGGCAGCGGCAGTGTGGACTACGCGGCGCTGGCGTCTGGGGGGCATACTGCGCGCCTTCAATTCGTACTCTGTGTGGCTATACGACGAAGTCTTAGATAAGCGGAAGAGAGAGGGAACATTGCATAGAAGCATCACGAAGATGCAGACGTGGCAAGGGCGAGGGACAGGAGACGAAAAACCCTACAATGCCCCCACTCGTTTTATTGCTCTGCTGTCTGCTTGGTTGTCACCCACTTTGCCAAGGTCTTCGATTCCTCGCCTCCTCGTTTGCGATGAACTTCGCCGTTTCCTGCTGCGTCTGCGGCGAACCCTCAACATTTCACAGCAGCACCTCCACACTACATCAAAGATTGCTCGTGTGACCATTCTTCTCGCCATCGTCGTATAGAAAATGCAGCATAGGACCGAATGTTTCCACATCATCGAACACACAGTCGCCGAGGTGCGAGTACACGACGACGGTGGGCCATCGCATTCATCTTGTTCAGTGCCCTCGTTCCGCTGCAGCGAGGGGGCCGGTGGGATTTTCTCCCCGGCGCCCCGCAGCTGCCAAAGGTGGGTGTGGCAGGCAGCCTGCACGTTCCACAGAGCGTCGCCCTCAACCCACACCGGCAGTCACGTAGCACCTCCCACACGGTAGGCAGTGCTCAATAAAACTGTGACATGCGTCCAATGCGCCCAGGAGCGTTTCAGCTGTCACTGCCACCAGGTGAGGGCTCCCCCGCCAGCATCTGCGCTGCGCAAGAGACTCTCTGCGAATGCAGCGCAGCTCTGCCGACCGCACACACCACCTGGCGCCTCGAGGAATAGCTCCACGCCGCTTCCCAGCAGTGTGTCCACTGCGGCCGGCTTCCCCTCCGCCGTCACCTTCTGCCGCTTGTGCATAATTACCACCACTCAGCTCACAGGCGTGCTGCACGAGAGGGAGTCCCCTGCACATGCATCACTGGAAGAGCGCAGACTACACTGAGCGAGGCCTTCCGCATCGGTGGAAGAGGAAGCTGTTAGGCAACGCCCCGACACAGCCACGCAGATTGTAGACAGGGTGGCGCATGCACGCTAGATGAATTGCCATGTGAAATGAGGTTGCTTCCGTCACTCCGTTCCCCTCCTGTGCCAAGATGCATTACTTCCAGAGTTGCACGAAGAGCATCCAGACGCATCTCGGACACAAACCCCACCACACAGCAGAAGCAGCAGCAAAACGCAAACACACACACACACCCATGCACACACAATCCCCCACAAAAACGGGGCCGTCCTCACTCACCAGTTCTTGAACACAGATGAGGTGAGCGGAGTGGATACCGGCTGCGGGAGGGGTACACGGAGAAACAAGAGGGAATCCACCTAGTCGCTGAAGAACTCCAGCGCGTCATCATCCTCAACGGCCACCTCTGTGCCACCTGCAGCGGCCGTCGCTGGGGGGCCCTGCGCACCTGACGCTGTCGGCGGCGTTACGAACGCCACTCTCCACACACCGCTGTCCTCGTCACGGTACAGCAGGTGCTGCACCGCCCCATCCATCTCAACCAGCACATCATCCAGCTGAACAGACACTCCTTCTGGCACCATTTCTCTACACAAAAAAACCAGATCGGAGTGAAGAGGAAAAGTAATTTTAAAAAAGCATAACGAGTATACACCACCCGTCTTGCTATTTCTTCAGCTATAGCTACCGCAGTAGAGATATATTATGAGGAACAGTGATATCGGATCCTCTTCAAACACAAGCCTTCTTTCTGTCACTTTATACTCCTCGCCACTACGCGAAGGAGAATAATGCAGAAAAAAGGGAAAATAACCCGTTGCTAAGTGGACGGAGCCTGTGTGCATCTCCGCCTATTGCGTAGTCGCACGGTGATACATGAAGAAAGGAACAGGCAGGAAAAATAAACGTACCTGTTGCTTGCATAAGGAAAAGTACACTTGGGAATCCCAGTAAGAACGGAAATAAATAGTTAACACAGTCAAAAAAAAAAACGAAAAGGGAATACTCACATTACCGTGCAGCATTTAGAATTCTTACACTTCTCCGTCTTTTTTTCAGGTGCCTTCTCATCGGCCTTATCCAGAGGCACTGCTGCAGCTGCCACTTCATCGGCATTCTCCACCGGGTGTCGGGCCTCCTCGGCCTTATCCAGAGGCACTGCTGCAGCTGCCGCTTCATCGGCATTCTCCACCGGGTGTCGGGCCTCCTCGGCCTTATCCAGAGGCACTGCTGCAGCTGCCGCTTCTGGTTCTTCCAGTGATACTTGGCGAGCGACATGCGGTTCCTNGGGCCTCCTCGGCCTTATCCAGAGGCACTGCTGCAGCTGCCGCTTCATCGGCATTCTCCACCGGGTGTCGGGCCTCCTCGGCCTTATCCAGAGGCACTGCTTCTGGTTCTTCCAGTGATACTTGGCGAGCGACATGCGGTTCCTGCGCCGCTGTGGCACCCTCTCGCAGAGACGCTGTGGGTGCACCATCCGCCAACTCTTTTTCCTCACGCCCTTCCATCACGTGGGCTTCTTCCCGAAGTGCATTTTGGTTTGGCTTGTATGCAGGCCCCGTGCGTGACAGACGCAGACGCTCCAACACAGCTTTTGGCATGGTGTGATGAATGGCGAGCGCAGAGTCTTGGGGATCCAAACCAGGCTTGGAGGCAGAATCGTTGGCATGTACCTGCGCCCCGCTATTGTGAGCGGGGGATGATGAATTGCTGAATCCTTCGCTTAGGTGTGCCTCCTCCGCGGGGGTAGCAGAGGCTTGTGGTCCATCGTCTTCTCCCTCCGCAGACTCATTGCGCCCCTCAGCTTCTCGAACAGCGGGGGCCGGTTCTTCTTCGATGACATCGGAGTCGGGTTGGATTTCCTCCACGCATTGAGTTTGTTCCTCTGCTTCATTATTGTAGGAGCCCATCTCTTTACTTACATAAGCGGCTAGGGCTTCCTCATCCCCCTCTTCCTCCCTTTCTTCTCCCTCATTATTTTCCGAGCCCCGCTCGTCCTCCTCTTCCTTACTCAATGTGCTCCGCTCATCTGACACATCATCGTCTGAATTTCGCGCCTCTGCTTCAGCGACACTCTCGCTATAGTCCTGCGCCCCCTCAGTGGCTTCGGTGTGCTGCCTATCCTCCGTGCCCTCAACGGCTGAGCCTTGTTCATGCACCTCGTCAGCATATGTGTGCTGCTTATTCTCAGTGTATTGTGGCTTCACATTACCTGGAAGAGCCTCCGCCATATGGTCCCTCGCACCTGCATCGTCGCGTAGCCCCTCCTCTGCGCTATCCGTATCCAGCGTCTCCCCTTTGGACACGCTTGTGTCGGTGCCGCCGTGGAGCTCGTTCGTTATGTGGGTCTTCTTGTGGGTGGCATCAGCGGCAGTCGACGTGTCGCGGTCGCTGTCCCCCGCAATTGCGGCGTTCGATGCGTCCGCCATATAGCTGGCACGTCTGTAGGGTAAACTCGGAGGACGGAGCACCGGGAATCACCTTCTCCACAGCACACACATACATACACGCACACAAAACAAAAGAGAAAGAAGAGGGAGAACAGCTGTCATTCCAAGCGAGGGGCGTACACCATCACCTCGACATCACCGTGCGGCATCCACCTCGCCAGTGAGGCTCATCTTCGTGCATGTGCGACAGGGAGATGCCCTTTGGGGGCGTGTGGGTACCCCTACACGGCCACATGGAACAAATGGCACCAGAATGACATGCACCACCGCAGGGGTGCCCATCGTTTGCGACGTCGCCCCCTCGAAAAAGAAAAAATCAAAAAACAAAAACAAAAGAAAATGTAATGCCTCTAATGATTGAGGGCATCGCTGCTGACCAAAATACCAGAATATCGATTATAAAAATATGGTGCGGCTAAACACGAACAGTCTGAGGCACAGTGAGGCGTTGAACCCCATGAAAGAAACAAGATACGTGAAAGGAAGGGGGAGCCCACCTACATCATCGCACAGCACGTTCCCTTCTTTTTTGCCTGCGCTTCCTCCGCTGCTGCTCCCTCCGCCTTTACATTCGGTTTCGCTGCTTCGCCGTCCTTCTCGGGCGCTGCAGCCCCCGTGTCCTCCTTCGGCTCCGCCTTCGTTTCCGCCGCCGCGTCGCCAGTGCCCGCCACCGTCACCAGCA